AAATTAACCGACAAACGATCTTGCAACAATGATGCGTTGAATGAGATGATCAGACTGAGAAACCTGTCTAAACTAAAAAGTAAAAAATGAATTAAAAATAAAAAAAACTTTTTTTAAACAAGCTTTTATTTAAATGCGCTAAAAAGAATAAAATAAATGTTTCCTTTAAAACTTTTACTATCAACTTATAACGTTATTGCACAATCTATATAATATAAGAACTTGTCGCGAGATTTACCTGTGTAAATAAAAAGGATCTGATTGATTTTAATTTTTAAAGTAAAAATGAGTAGAAACTTAAATCTCGCGACAAGCTTTTATATTATATAAATTGTGTAATGTCGTTATAAGTTGATTACAAAAGTTTTAAAGGAAAAGTTAATTTTATTCTTTTTAGCGCATTTAAATAAAAGCTTGTTTTAAAAAAAGTTTTTTTTATTTTAATTTATTTTTTTAGGTTTTAGTATTACGATATTAACAACTACAACAGTATTGGCTTGGTGGTGTATTGCGCACGATATAAGCACCTTACACATTTTTGTCACGTGACACTTATTTTCGTTACAAGGTCATTCCACACTTGACGCAGAATTTAGAACAAAGCAGAAGTCGTCCAATACTACTCCTTGCATCCGCCACCACCAAGCATTTGTCGGTGTGCAGCGGATGGAGAAACGAGAGATAACTTACTTTAAAATTTACTTTTAGTTAATATTCAAACAATTTTTAGAAATAGTAAGTGTAATACCCTTATATGTGTACATTATTTGTCGGAAGAATTTGCACAGCCGAATGTGCCACGTTTTTTTTTTCATAAAGTACATTTAACGTATTTCGCAGAGGAGTCAAATTTTTCTACAATCGAGCGTTGTTCATACAATTTTAAGCAAATATTGTATAAAAGTCCTATTTACAAATTAGAAAATTAATGTATTCTTTACGGTGTGCGATTTGATCCTGTGTTTGATACTTTTCTGATTTTTCTTTATTCGCCCATAAAGTTCCACTGCTGGACATGAGCTGAAACAAAATTGGTATATTTATGCTCCGTTAATCTGGTAAAACGAGAGGAATCAAATTCACTGTGAAGGGGAGTTTAATTGCCTTTTTACTTTTTTATGCATGAGCGTATGCTTACGAGTATATACTTAACAAATGAATAAATAATTAAACAAAACAGTGAGTTTTTTCCATACGTCTTTATTCTCCAAGTTATCCTCAATTTTGTAACAAACGATACCGGTGAAAGCAAGTTTCCTTTATTAAACTTCGCTTCAAGCAGTTACGCTAAGTCTTGCAATTAGGCATTCAAATCTGTGCTCATTATTTACGTCTTTCAACAACGTGGCAGTTACATTTAATGCTCCGTTAATCTCTTCGAAACGAGAGGAGATATTTACTCTTGATAGTCGCCTTCGCGTTCATTGCCTTGTAACTAATGTATTTTTAATTATAAATGAATAAATGACTTTCTAAAGAAATAAAATATTTTCTATTAATATAGCTGCAGCATGGCTCTACCACGTAAAGAAACAAACATCATTAGCTTCGCGTGTGTATATTTATATATCGATCTAGGAATATTTTAACATTGTAATTTTCACCAACTTGTTCGCGGTTGTAAAATTTGTACCGATGACAATACAATAATTTAATAACTTTTTCCTATTGTAACGAACCCCCCCCCCCATCTTTTTTCTTTTCTACTATATCCCACTTATAATTGTATTTCTTTAGAATCTATATCTGTAAGATATATAAATACATCTAATTTACGTGACCAGTATAACTTGATCTTTCTAAAGGTTTAAATATAGGCCGTTTAATAAATTTATGGCGTGATCGTCTTAGTTAGAACCCTTTTTTACGTTGTGTTTGTATAGTAACTTAGTTCTTTTAGGTGTATCTTGGAAGAATGAATATTCACGAGAGCAATCGAAAGCTGTTGGTAGAGTCTTATAAGCTAAAGAACCCCGTTCACGAAGACAGAGCTCAAAAAGGTTAAGAACAATAAATTGTCCCTATTCCACTTGTATCTGGTTCACAACAGTCAATTCCTTATTAATTAATCCCTTCCCGCTTGGAAAAGGCTCACAATATTTATATCAAATACCAGTTACAAGGGCTTCGCTCTCCCACATTTTAAAAAAAATGTGGAGGAGGTACACGGCCCCACACACGCCGCGCACGGTGAGCGCCAACCATTTTAATGCGCTCCCCCCGAAGGGTACGCAAAGTTGGGAACTGGACCGTAGTCCACAGCAAAATAACTGGCGAACCAGTAAAAGAGGACTTGGCCCCTTGATAGTGCGTAAGCACAAACATCGACCGAAGTCGCGCATGTCAATGCGTGTAAACGCCATACAGAATACGATCAAATCCAGTCACAGTGAATGTACGTCACACGGGTTAGGCAACAATAGGCACACTGACCATAAAAAGCCTTCCGTGAGCGCCACCACCTGCCAGACCGCCGTTCCTGCAGACGTGATGTAAGTGTAAGGCATCACCACCAATTGCATGGTCAGCACGGCCAATTGGCCGCAGAGCGTGTCATGAGTCTACCGCTCACCTCAAGGGAATGGGGTCCCACGTTGCGCGGCTTTCGGCCGCAGCCTTGAGAGCCTCCTCAGATTCTCCCTCCAGCTACCACCCGCATGAGGTCAACACATATGCTCCACCAACCAATACAATGGCAGATATAGCCAATAGGCAGTTATAAGATAATATTAATAATTCGCCATCAGAAAGGGTTTGTGTCACTGACGTTGAGTATATGCATTTTTCGATCATGTTTGTCTCACCCACCAACAAGTTGCCTTCAATCTCTCAAAGGTGGGAACTTTATAGAGATATATTATTAAGTTGTTATATAAAACATCATGGAGGGCAGACAGTCTGCAGCCCCGCAATGAAGGGACCCGACTTGGGCAAAGCTACTTAGGTTGTGAGTCAAACCAAGACGCAGAGAGCGCCATTGAGAATAGCGACCCGCCAAACAACCATCGTAGAGACGCAATGCTACAGAATGCAACAAGCATCAATACGACTATCGTCGGGCTTACACCATCCCAAGGTCCCCCATACAGTCCCAGCAGACATCACCACCCGCATACCTCCATCGACCAGAACCACAAGATGCATCGAATCAGGTGCAGTACACCCGCAGATCCATCACAAGACACAATACTGCAAGTAGCAGTAAGCATCAATGCAACTATCATACGGATGGCGCCCCCTCACAACACACCCACATGATCCCTATCGACTTTGGTAACAAAATTTGATAATGTTGTTAACTAAAAATACCACCAACGTATCATAGTAGTACGGTACTAAGACGTCAGTAGCCAAAACTCCACGTATCATAGCGCTATTGCACTAAGACATGAAGTTGAGTATGCTTGCTGCACTTAAAAGTACTACCAAACACACTCACCCTAATCCGAAAGATAGCCGACGTATCATAACGCTATGCGCTAAGACGCCGCCCACAACCGGTAGGGGTGTGCGATGTTCACGGGCAAGTCGTACTGCTACAACAAACCCGCTTACCACCGGCACTATGATGATATGTCTAGGACACATCGGTTAGTGAGTCCAAGTTTACCTCGGTCTCAGAGGCTGCGAAGCAACCTACACGCCACTATAATAATCCTTTTTAAGTCCCATTTCTTTCAATATAATGCTTTTACATATTTGAGACCTTCCACATATTTGCTTTATTTCATAGACCATACTACTGTATGTCTCTTATTCATATGGGACTTCAAGTCATAACTCTGCTATCATAATGCTTATGCATCATAGAGACCTTCTATATTAATGCTTTGGTTCGTCAGACCTTACTATGTTAAGTCCCTAATATAGGACTAGTCATTGTGCAACCTTAGTACTAGCAGTCGGTCAGCCGACCACCCCATATATATGTACAACCTTGGGTATGTGTCTCCGACAACGCCCCAATATAAGGGAACATTACAAGAACACGTTCATTAACTTAGAAATTTTCCAATTATTACACGAACTCCTTCATCAACTTAGAAAATTTTAATCCATTTTTTCTATTATATTACAAATGTTATTTATCTTTGTTATTGCAATATAATCGCCTTGTATTTATATGATTTGATATATTTTGAACATTTTAAGCAGGTTTTTAATAAATTTAGAGATTTTTTGAGACATTTTATGCGTTTACTAATAAATATAATATTCAATATTCCAAATGGATATTTTTGAACTCTATGCTTATTATTTGCATTTTATTGTTTAAATTATAATTTCTATGACATTTTTAAATGTCTGTATAATGAATTTAATTATTATTTATTAATAATAATTATGAGGCGTCACAATCCACCCCCAAATTTTATGTTAATGATCCACATAGTGGAGTCGTTAATATAAAATTTTAGCATTTACACTACACTCAAATAATTGTTGATATATCTGTTCTTTCCTCTTTTAATCTGTTACAATACGGCATATGTTATCAAATCCCCCTGCCCCAGAGAATGGCCGCCACCAACACCCCTTCAACCACAATTATCACAATGTGATAACACCATAATTCAAGTTATTGTATATCGTGTTGTTAATAAAGTTTGCAGTCAATTGTCGATTTCTTATTTTATTAATTTATCTTTAAATCTTTGAAACATTATTTCGATAGTGTCACACTTTATGTGCATACAATCCAGTTTGATATTTGTTGAGGTCAGTTCGATACCACATAGGATAAATGTGTTTGAGCCATTCGCCCTGACCCAACTCCCATATTTATTTAATAAAAATGATTACAAAATTATCTTACGATCTATATTTACAACTCTTCATTATATATTAATAACGTTCTACTATCATATAACAAATCTCTTGCTCATAACTTTAATAATTTTAGACCTTTAACTTAAACAATTATTTCCATGGGCCACCCACAAAACCCTTTTATGTTACAATATTTATTTAATTACTCTAATTTATACAAAAAGAAATTATTATTTAAAATATTTTAATAAGTGAATAGCATTGAAAATTCCTCTAATTTCGTTTGTCTCTGGATTTGCTAAGGTATATACATTGTCAAATGGTACGGCTGCTATTACATAAGGTCCTTCATATGCCAAATTGAACTTACTCATAACTTTATTATCAGCGTCTGATCTACTAGATCTTGAAATTTTTACTAAGTCACCAATATTATATTTTATTAATCTATTTCGCTTATCAAATTTTGTGTTTCTTATTCGACTTGCCTCTTTTAAATTTTTACGCACTTGTTGTCTAATTTGTTCGACATTATGTTTTTCTTTGCTTTTGGAAATTACTTTGTCAAAAGACATCTCATTAGACTCACCATAAAGAATTTCACAAGGCGTGAAGCCTGTACTATTGTGATAAGAATTATTATACAATTCTTCTAACTTCGGCAATATTAATGCCCAATCTTTGTGGTTAGTATGACAAAGCGTCCTAAATAATCTGCTCAACTCTTTATTTACTCGCTCTGTTGTATTTGGTCTAGGATTTCTAACTGTGGTATATATTGGCTTTATATTTAATTCACTCATTGATTGTTTCCAGTGATTACTTACGAACTGTTTTCCATTATCTGTCATTATTGCCTTGGGCTTTATAATCTCAACAAAATGCTTTACTTTTGTTACAACAGACTTTGCTGTTGACTGTTTTAAAGGATATAATTTGATAAATTTACTGAATGAATCTTGAATGACAAATATGAAAGTGTACCCAAAGGTACCTGATACAAGTGGTCCATATAAGTCTGCCATGACTATATCGCCAATGTTTTCTGTTATTATAGATTTGCAGGGACCCACATATGTTATATTGCTTTTCTTAGATAACTGACATAAATGACAAGCCCTTAATTGGTTTTTAATATCTTTTGTTAAACCTTTCCAAAAGAATCTGTCTCTCACATATTTAATTACCTTATAGGGTCCTTGATGACCCATTTCGACATGCACTTGATTTATAGTATCTTGTCTCAATGCTTTAGGTATTACTTCTTGTAAATTCGTTTTGTAATATAATACATCATTTTTCAAACTATACCTTTTAAATTTATTGTTTTGTTTTATTATGGAAGTATTTAATGTCTTTAACTTTTTAATAATAGCCAACGACTCTGAATCTTGTAATTGATATACTGGTAAGGATTTTAATTTTTCTATCAACTCAATATTCGGTTCGCTCTCTGTGTAAGCAATTTCTAAACTATTATTTTTATCCTCTTGTATTAAATCGCCATCAGGAGGATAACGTGATAGCACATCTGCAACAATATTACGTCTACCCGATATATGCTGTACTTCATAATTAAATTGTTCTATATACAAAATCCATCGGGTTACTCTACCATTGAATAACTTCATATTATTAATAAACAATAATGCTTTATGATCAGTTAGTATTATTACTTTACTGCCCCGCAAATATGTTTCAAATTTCTTTAGGCAGCTTATTACAGCATAAAACTCTTGTTCAGTAACAGACCAATTTAATTCGGGGCCTTTAAGGCTTTACTATGATAGCCTAAAATTCTCATTTCATTATTATCATCTATCTGATATAGTACTCCGGCCATACCCACACCGGAACAATCTGTTTGTAAATAATGCGGCTTATTAAAGTCTGGATGATGCAATTGTATTGTATTAATAAATTGTTGTTTTATAAAATCAAATGCCTTCTGTTCTTTACCGCTCCATTGGAACTTTCGTCCCTTTTTAAGTAATTCACAGAGCGGTATTATGCTCTCGCTGTAATTTGGTATAAACCTTCTATAAAAATTGCATAGACCTAAAAAGGCCCTTAATTGTTTAATCTTTTTAGGTGCTGGAAACTCTTGGATCGCTCGAATCTTATCGGGGTCTGTCTTTATGCCTTCTGTTGAAATTATAAAACCCAGCATTTTAATTTCTTTACAAATAAATTCACATTTCTGCAAGTTACACGTTAAGCCAGCTTTGTTCAATTTACTTAAAACAATATCAATGTGCTCCAAATGTTTATCTAACGTTCCTGTTGTAATAATGGCTAGATCATCTAAATAGTTCACACAAAATTCTTGGACTTCTGGTCCTAATATTAAATTCATGGCTCTGCTAAAGCTTCCTACTGATGTTTTTAATCCTTGCGGCAAAACATTATATACATATGACTTTCCATTGAATGTGAATCCAGTATATTTTCTACCATCTTTATTTATCGGAATTTGAAAATATGCATTATTTAAGTCAATGGTAGTGATATAATTCGCTCCGTGAAATGAATTCAAAACATCTAATTGTATAGGTGGTTTCTCTGTTTCTGCAACCATTTTCTTATTTATGCTTCTGGCATCAAGCAGAACTCTAATTGAGCCGTCTTTTTTAAGAGTGAATGTCAATGGACTACTGTAAGGCGTTGATGTCCTTGTGATGATACCAGCTTGTTCCATTTCATTTAACTTTTCTTCCATTTTCGCTCTATATGCATATGGAATGGGATAGGACCTAGTAACTATAGGTTCATCATCGATCATTTCAATTTTATGCTCATAGCAATTGGCTCTTCCCAATTTGCTCGAAAACATATTCTTATGCTTTTCCAAAACCTTACTAAGTTTTGCCCTTTCAGAGACCTTCAATGTAGATCCTATTTTTATATTTATTAAGGGATCATCGGTACATTGTTTGGTGCACTTATTATGTAATACAGATTTATTATTATATTTGAAAGGTATAAAGTAGTCTTTGTTTTTCACTTTAAATTCTATTCCAACAGTAGTATTTCTCAAATCAATCAATATTTTATTTCTCTTGAGCCAGTCAAAGCCTAATATTAAAGGTCTTATTAAATTACCTACAATTAAAGTTTGTGTTTCAAAGACTACTTCATCTATCTTTATAGGCAATATGATCATCTGTTGTATTTTTGTGCTGCGCTGCCCAACAGGACCTTTTATTTGCATTGCTTTAACTGGCATTATTGATATTTTACGATTATTTTCTTTAATTTGTAAATATAAACTTTCTGAAATGCATGTAACATCGCTCCCAGTGTCGAGGAGCGAGTCTATTTCTTTGTCAAATATTGAAACTTTAATTTCAGATCTCATATTCCCTATAAATTCCCTTTGATATTTATCTTCGTCTTCCTCGAAGACGGTTTGCACGAATAACTCCGTTATGGGCAAGTCCGACCTGGCTTTTAATATGCTATTTACATTGTCGTTATAACCAAGGCCTTCTCTGTTAAAATTTGCTTTTAAAGTAATAGGTTTTCGCAACCCTCTATTGTTTTACCCAATGTTTGACCAGGTCGCCAACCCAGTTTTAATAACATGTTTAATGCTTTGTTCCCTTTTACATTGTAAGGGGTCGAATCGGGAACTAGTTCGACCTCTACAGCTCTAAATTTGGCTCAGGGGCCGTAACATCAGGTTGGTCATTAGTGAAATGTATTTCATGTACTTCATTAACCTTCTTTTTTCCCTCTTCGGGTTTACGCCATGTTTTGTATGATCGTTGTATTTCTTTATGTTTTTGCTCCGTATTATTATTAAACTTCCTCCTTTTCTCATTATAGTAAGGTTCACGACCTTCATCTTGTTTGTCGATGTCATCTAAGTTTCTTAAGAAATCTGTCGTGTCAATTATTGTCTCAATTTTAGCTATTCTCCATAATTGCTGCACAGTTTTAGGATAATGTCTGATGACATCAGTTACTAATTGTTTTTCAGGTATCGGATATGATAATGTTTGTGCCTTCTCAACCACATAAAGAAAATAACTATCCATGGTGGGGTGTGTACTTCTATTCCATTTATTTTGCACAAGGAATCTCTTTACTTTATTTTGTTCTTCTTCACCCCAAAACACTCTTAGGAAGTCAGCTTTAAAATCATCAAAAGTTGTCCAACGCACATTATTAATGCGAGCCCAATACTTGGCTTCACCTACTAAGCACTCTTGTGCAATCGAAATTTCGAGACCATTAGATGGAACTTTCTTTAAATAATTGGTGAGATCTTCCAAAAATGATACTGGATGAGTATTTCCATTTCCAAATTTCGGCTTTTCTATTGTTACATTATGTACATTATATACAATATTTTGTCTAGGATCATTTACATGAGAGGTGCTCGCCCCGGACACCTCTCCTTGATTCATTTTAGTTTGGTAATCTTTTGTTTGGTTAATAAATTTTTCCTCAAGATCCTTTATTTTAAACTCAAAGGTTTTCACTGCATTCTTAATTAATTTCTGAAGCATTTTCATCTCATCTTTAGACTTAGCCTTAATTGAGGTTGATTTTTTCTTATTTTTAGCCATTTTTAATTTTTATTTCCACTTGTTTTTTTTTTTTTTTTTTTTTCACCTGTTGTGTCCTTCACTTAGTTTAATTGAGTCTTTCCACTTATTTCACTTTTTATTATTTCGCTCCGTTATGCACACACCTCCTCCTATATTATTACTCAATTTTAATATTTAAGCCCCACCCCCAGACTCTCAACCACCCCCAGCAAACACCACTCTCCAAGACACCGCTCCATTTCACGGACAACAAATTGTAGGCATATAGCCTACCTCATAATTTTATATTACCGGCCTCCTATTTAAAATTTAACCTCTATCCTGGTCACGGCACCAAATTGTAACGAACCCCCCCCCCCATCTTTTTTCTTTTCTACTATATCCCACTTATAATTGTATTTCTTTAGAATCTATATCTGTAAGATATATAAATACATCTAATTTACGTGACCAGTATAACTTGATCTTTCTAAAGGTTTAAATATAGGCCGTTTAATAAATTTATGGCGTGATCGTCTTAGTTAGAACCCTTTTTTACGTTGTGTTTGTATAGTAACTTAGTTCTTTTAGGTGTATCTTGGAAGAATGAATATTCACGAGAGCAATCGAAAGCTGTTGGTAGAGTCTTATAAGCTAAAGAACCCCGTTCACGAAGACAGAGCTCAAAAAGGTTAAGAACAATAAATTGTCCCTATTCCACTTGTATCTGGTTCACAACAGTCAATTCCTTATTAATTAATCCCTTCCCGCTTGGAAAAGGCTCACAATATTTATATCAAATACCAGTTACAAGGGCTTCGCTCTCCCACATTTTAAAAAAAATGTGGAGGAGGTACACGGCCCCACACACGCCGCGCACGGTGAGCGCCAACCATTTTAATGCGCTCCCCCCGAAGGGTACGCAAAGTTGGGAACTGGACCGTAGTCCACAGCAAAATAACTGGCGAACCAGTAAAAGAGGACTTGGCCCCTTGATAGTGCGTAAGCACAAACATCGACCGAAGTCGCGCATGTCAATGCGTGTAAACGCCATACAGAATACGATCAAATCCAGTCACAGTGAATGTACGTCACACGGGTTAGGCAACAATAGGCACACTGACCATAAAAAGCCTTCCGTGAGCGCCACCACCTGCCAGACCGCCGTTCCTGCAGACGTGATGTAAGTGTAAGGCATCACCACCAATTGCATGGTCAGCACGGCCAATTGGCCGCAGAGCGTGTCATGAGTCTACCGCTCACCTCAAGGGAATGGGGTCCCACGTTGCGCGGCTTTCGGCCGCAGCCTTGAGAGCCTCCTCAGATTCTCCCTCCAGCTACCACCCGCATGAGGTCAACACATATGCTCCACCAACCAATACAATGGCAGATATAGCCAATAGGCAGTTATAAGATAATATTAATAATTCGCCATCAGAAAGGGTTTGTGTCACTGACGTTGAGTATATGCATTTTTCGATCATGTTTGTCTCACCCACCAACAAGTTGCCTTCAATCTCTCAAAGGTGGGAACTTTATAGAGATATATTATTAAGTTGTTATATAAAACATCATGGAGGGCAGACAGTCTGCAGCCCCGCAATGAAGGGACCCGACTTGGGCAAAGCTACTTAGGTTGTGAGTCAAACCAAGACGCAGAGAGCGCCATTGAGAATAGCGACCCGCCAAACAACCATCGTAGAGACGCAATGCTACAGAATGCAACAAGCATCAATACGACTATCGTCGGGCTTACACCATCCCAAGGTCCCCCATACAGTCCCAGCAGACATCACCACCCGCATACCTCCATCGACCAGAACCACAAGATGCATCGAATCAGGTGCAGTACACCCGCAGATCCATCACAAGACACAATACTGCAAGTAGCAGTAAGCATCAATGCAACTATCATACGGATGGCGCCCCCTCACAACACACCCACATGATCCCTATCGACTTTGGTAACAAAATTTGATAATGTTGTTAACTAAAAATACCACCAACGTATCATAGTAGTACGGTACTAAGACGTCAGTAGCCAAAACTCCACGTATCATAGCGCTATTGCACTAAGACATGAAGTTGAGTATGCTTGCTGCACTTAAAAGTACTACCAAACACACTCACCCTAATCCGAAAGATAGCCGACGTATCATAACGCTATGCGCTAAGACGCCGCCCACAACCGGTAGGGGTGTGCGATGTTCACGGGCAAGTCGTACTGCTACAACAAACCCGCTTACCACCGGCACTATGATGATATGTCTAGGACACATCGGTTAGTGAGTCCAAGTTTACCTCGGTCTCAGAGGCTGCGAAGCAACCTACACGCCACTATAATAATCCTTTTTAAGTCCCATTTCTTTCAATATAATGCTTTTACATATTTGAGACCTTCCACATATTTGCTTTATTTCATAGACCATACTACTGTATGTCTCTTATTCATATGGGACTTCAAGTCATAACTCTGCTATCATAATGCTTATGCATCATAGAGACCTTCTATATTAATGCTTTGGTTCGTCAGACCTTACTATGTTAAGTCCCTAATATAGGACTAGTCATTGTGCAACCTTAGTACTAGCAGTCGGTCAGCCGACCACCCCATATATATGTACAACCTTGGGTATGTGTCTCCGACAACGCCCCAATATAAGGGAACATTACAAGAACACGTTCATTAACTTAGAAATTTTCCAATTATTACACGAACTCCTTCATCAACTTAGAAAATTTTAATCCATTTTTTCTATTATATTACAAATGTTATTTATCTTTGTTATTGCAATATAATCGCCTTGTATTTATATGATTTGATATATTTTGAACATTTTAAGCAGGTTTTTAATAAATTTAGAGATTTTTTGAGACATTTTATGCGTTTACTAATAAATATAATATTCAATATTCCAAATGGATATTTTTGAACTCTATGCTTATTATTTGCATTTTATTGTTTAAATTATAATTTCTATGACATTTTTAAATGTCTGTATAATGAATTTAATTATTATTTATTAATAATAATTATGAGGCGTCACACTATTATCACTTAATCTTTAGCGTGAGGTTTTAGTTTTTCTTTAAACTAAGTATAATTTATTCAATCTTAAAGTATATATTATGTGGAACCTATACTTCATTCATACATTTACAGCAGCCTATCAAAAGTTCACTG